GAGCACTGCCTGAGTCGGTGAGAGGGGAGGATCCCTGCCTCTTTATTAACGCCTTTACTCCTGGGGGTGTCCTTGCTGGCTGAGGGTGGAGAGTGGTGTGATGATTCCAGAACACTTTGGAGGCTTCAGGGTGATGCTGCTCACGACCAGGAGTCCCCCCAAAACTGGTGTTTAACGAGTTGCAAAAGAGGAGTTTTGAAGCATGCTCTAGGGACAAAATGGGGGAGGACATGAGAGGCCAAGAGCAACGCCAAAGAGAGTTGGGCTTATCCTCCGGATGTCAAGCTGTTAGGAAGAGCTACCTAGAAGAGATTAAGAGCCTTTTGACTCTTTAGACCCAAGGCTCACATTCTTTTATCCTTCCATCCTCCACCCACCCATCCAACCCCTGTCCACCACCCATCCATTCATCACCCACCATTCACCATCTGTCCATTCATCCATATATCTACCCATCTACCCACTTTCTTCCATCCACCCATCCACACATCTATCCACGACTCCCCATCCATCTGCCCATCCATCCCTCATCCATCCACCCACCCACTCACCTCTCTTCCATCTAATCACTCACCCCCCATTTAAACATCTTGAGAGCAAGGGTTCTTATTTTTTTTCACTGTGACACTCCAGCCCCTAGTGCAGTGCTGGTGCATAGTAGATGCTTAATAAATTTTCAGTGAATTTATCCATTTATTCCCCCATTTACCTACCATCCCATCCACTCACCAACTCCCCCACTCAACATTTTTGACCAGCTACAACACCCCACCATTCAAGATCTGTAGGCTTCCACATTCTTTCTTAAGAAAGGAAAAGTCCTGGAGTCTGGCAGGTGGATGAGGGGAAGGTGTTAACTCAGGATGAAATCCTCAATCCAGCACCATTTGGGAAGGAGGGAAAAAGCACTGTATGAACAAAGCTCTCACAGAGCATCCTGATAGATCGGGAAGGGGGAAGTAACTTGCCCGATGCTATCAAGTTGATAGCATATTAGTGAGGCCAAGGCTGGAGGATCGTTTGAGCTCAGGAGTTCAAGACCAGCCTGAGCAAGAGCAAGACCCTGTCTTTACTAAAACAATAGAAATAAATTATCTGGACAACTAAAAATATATGGAAAAAATTAGCTGGGCATGGTGGCGCATGCCTGTAGTCCCGGATGCTTGGGAGGCTGAGGCAAAAGGATTGCTTGAGCCCAGGAGTTTGAGGTTGCTGTGAGCTAGGCTGATGCCATGGCACTCTAGCCCGAGCAACACAGTGAGACTCTGTCTCAAAAAAAAAAAAAAATAGCAGATTAGCTATTATGGCCCAGGCTTTTCTGCTACTTCAAGCTGCTTCTAATACCAAAACCCCATCAGGAGAGATCAAATGTGCCAAAGGCAATAGAAAGTCAGTTCCTTGAGGACAAGAACAGTGGTTTATTCTCAACTGTATTACAGTGGTACAACTCAGAGAAATGCCCATCCGACTAGTCCCAGGGCTTGATGGACCTGGTACATAATAGACACTCAGTAAACATTTGCTGACTGTCAGTTCCTTCTCTGCCTTCGTGAACCCCTCTCGCCTCCTCTGCCAGCCTCTCACATGGAGAGGTTCTCTGGGGCTCCATCCTCAGCTTCCTCTTTCTGCTCACTCTATACAAACCTGCCCCCGGGGCAACCACATACCCACTCTTCCACTGCCAGCTCCCCTGCTGCTGACCTCCAGATCTGCTCTCTCTCACCAGTCCAGGCCTCTCCCGGGTTTCGAACCCATATTTCCAACTGGCTACAGGGTATTTCCACCTGGAGTTCCCATGAGCACCTAAAACCCAATGTGTCCAAAGGCGAGAGCATGCCTGCCACATGCCAGGAAGAATGAGAAGGTGGGCGTGACGGAGTGGGGGAAACAGGAGAGCAGTTACAGACAATGAGAGCAGGGAGACAGTGGGCTGGGGACAGAAGGTGATCATGTAGGGCCCAGTAAACCACTGAAGGACTTTGCCTTTTATTCTGAAATGGGAGGCAATTACAGAGCTCTGAGCAGAAAGAGGACATGATCAGACTTCAGTTCTGCAGTCAGAAACCTGGCAGTCTTCGGACTCCTTTTTCCCTCCTGCCATTTCTATAAACTACCAAACTTGTCGATCTTCCTGGTCTTTTTCTCATATGTGCCCCTCCTCTCACCTCTACTGTTACTGTGACAACTTGGGACCTAATTGTCTCTAGCTTGGTCTCTTTGAAATAATTTCTAACCAGCCTCCAGGTCACTGTCTCCACTTGCCACAAAAGTGACTGACCTAAAATTCCAACCTCCCTGGCTCAAACTCTCCAATGGCTCCTTACCTATAGGGAGACGTCCAAGGATCTTAAGAAGGCACACATAATGGTATGTCGTGGTCAGTCCCTGCCTACCTTGCCTCCAGGCTCTGGCAGCTAAACTGATTCCGGTCCCACCTCTCCCTGCCCTAACCACACACACACACACACACACACACACACACACACACGCTCACACTTTCTCTGCAGAGACCCATCTCTGCCTTTGCTCATGCAATCCCTATTGCCTGGATCCCCCTGCCAGCCCTTTCTTCCTGGAAAATTCTTTCTTTAGGGGTCACCTTCTTCAAGAAGCTCTATGATTCCTTTCCTTCCTGTCCCAGTTGAGGCTGGGATAAGTATTCTTCTCATTGTTTCCATTTCTATCATGGGCACGTGTCCATATTATATTGTAATTGGCCATTGACTTGTCTGTCCCCACACTGAACTGTGAGGTCTTCAAGGGTTGAGACTGTATCATTTATTTCTGTGTCCCAAGCTCCTAAGACAGGGACTGACACATAGTACAAACTTGAAAGGTTTGGTTACCACTGAGTGGCCTTGTCATCCACGGACCCTGTACATACCTTTTTACGAGGGGAGGGCAGGAGGTGCGCGTTGGTGCTGGTCCGGTTTTTGTCAGAGCTGGAGATGGCAGAAGAGAGGAGAGAGGGCTGAGAACTCTGAATTTGAGTGTCAGGGCAGAATAGAATAGAACTGCATGGTTCAGAATTCCCTCTACCCTTCTGGGATGTTGTCAAACCCTTGCTCTCTCCCCTACAGGCTTCTCATCTTTCTCCCGGGACAAAGGGCATATCCCTTGAAGCCTCACTCACCGGGTGTCTGTGCCTTGGGTCTTGGTGAAGAACACTGGAAGCAGAGGCCCCAGTCAGAGAAATGACTATCCCCATGGCAGAAAGAGATGTGGCTGGGGCGGGAAAGGCTGAGGGGATTCCTGGCCGGCAGTGAGGACTAGGTGCTGGGTTAGTGGGTGGGGGCCTCTGCGTGGGGCCTAGGGCTGGCCATGGGATGGGGTGCTGGGCCCAGATTCCTGGAGAGGTCAGCTAGGGTTGGGAGTGGGCCAGGGACGGGAACTAGGCACATGGGAGGATCTCCTGACACAGTGGTCCTGAGGTAGGGGTCACCGTGTCTGGATATCTGAGTCCCTTGGTCTTGTGTCTGCTTTTCTTTGATGGGCACAGTGTTCATATGGCAGTGAGCCAAAAACAAGGCCTCATCTGCGAGTTCTGTGCTGATCCGGGTCAGGAATTCCTCAGAACGGGATAATGAAACCTTCTGTGAAAGGAAAAATCAGAGGGGCTCAGCCTGGGACCTCCTACGTGCAAATCCTGGAGCTGGAAGTTTACAGGCCAGGGGCTGTGGGTCCAAGGAGCCTAGTATTAGAGGGTTGGGTCTTGAGATTTGGCTAGAAGGCCCTGGACCTGGGATTGGGGAGGGGAGGGCAGTCTTTGGGGACTCAGGGCCTAGTGCTGAGGGCTACAGGTCTGGGCCTAAGGGCTCAGGGCTTAGGCTAGATTGTGGTCCGCCCTGGGACTGGGTGCCTCTGTGTAAGAGCTGGTCATTTCATTACACTCCCACCTCTAGAGCTCCCCTTCGGTGCTCACCAGACCTCCGGAGGAGGATACAGCTTGAGACTGCCAGCTGCCCTTTTTCTCCTCATTCCTGGTAGGTGTGGATGCCATGCCCCTGCCAACAGTCAAAGCCTGTGTCAGGCTGAGAACCTATCCCCAGGCCAGATTTAAACAAGGCTTTTAGATGAAATATCCCGCTGTTTCCGTTCTCTTTCTGGTGGGGGGAAATTGTTGGCTTATATCTTCGAGAGGGAGGGAGAACCCCCACAACCCTCTCTCCCCATTTCACCCAGAGGGCCCCTGTCTCCTTCTTCCCTCCCAGGGCCCTTCCCAAACCAAGGCAGCCGACTTGCCGCCCAGACCTGGCAGATGGGATGAAATCTTGGGCTACTCGGCAGGACGGGAGACAAGAAGGTCTAAGGGGCCCCGTTACAGGTCGCTGAGGACAGGGAGTGGGAGCTGGGGAGAAAGGCGGGGAGAAGGGGGAGGCCGGGCCGCGCGCTACCCGCTACCCGCTATCCGTAGCTATAAAAACCTTGGTATCTGTGGATGTTCCACAGCCCCGTTGCTAGGAGATTAGGTGTTCTAGAACTAAAGACGGGGGCATTTCCCTAGCGTGCCCGGTTCGCTCCTCCGACCTCTGTACCCCTCCAGGTCCCTTCCTGGGGGGCACTGAGCCAAGCGCCAGAAGCTTGAGAAGTTTGGGAAGATTACGTAGGGTGGAGCCTGGGACCTGATCCTCCCGCCACTAGGGGAACACAGGCAGCAACCGCGCCCAGGGCCGCTCTTCAGCCCCTCTAGCCGCCGCTTCGCAGCCTGGGGCGGGCAAGGGCAAGGGAGGCCAAGGAGTTAGGGGGCGGGGACAAGAAACGTGGACTGTACTAAATAGCCTCGGCTCTTGGGGATGGAAAGACTCAAGAGGGCACCTTATCCCCTTATCTTTGTCTCCAGGACGTCAGACCCCCCGTGAAAAGGAAAGCAGAGATAGTCCTCTAGGTCTCTTTCTCTTTTGCGCTTTCCGTTTCCTTTCCTTCGTTTGCTCGGCGTCGATCGTTCTTTGCTCCCCCCTCCCTCTGTGCTTGGTACGAGCCGACGGAAAGGGGCGGAGGGAGGAAAAGGAAGAGGAAGCGGGCAGGTCTTAAAGGGGCCGCAGCCATTTTTAAAGCTGCTTTTTCCTTTCTCCAATTTTGCCAGGACGATCGCAGAAGAACAGGTCCCCGGAAGCCAAGCACAGCTGGAGCAGCAAGGACCGCTGCTGGGAGACGGGAGCACCCGCTGGACGGGTGGCGGGGAGGGGCTGCCCACTGGAAGGGCGGGGTGTGCGCGCCCTGCGCCCCGCGCACATCTGGGTCGGCCAATGCTCCGGCCCTCTGCGAGCTTGAACATCTGGGGCCGGGCCGGGCCGGGGCAACGGCGTACAGCGCGCAGGTGGCAGCGGCGGCGGCGGGAGGGTGAGGCCGCACAGCGGGGCTGGGACAGCGCTGGCACCTCCAGAGCGGGCCCGGGACGGCAAGGGGGTGGCCGCGATGCCAGGCGAAAATATATTCCTGTTCGTGCCTAACCTCATCGGTGAGTGCTGCCCGCGGCTCCGGGCCGGAGGGGAGAGCGAGGGCCCTTGGCAGGCTCTCTGATCCCGCCCTGTCTCCCCGCGTCCCGTTCTAAGGTTATGCCCGGATTGTCTTCGCCATCATTTCTTTCTACTTCATGCCCTGCTGCCCCCTCACGGCCTCCTCCTTCTACCTGCTCAGCTGCCTTCTGGACGCTTTCGATGGACACGCTGCTCGAGCCCTTAATCAAGGTGACGGACACCCCCTCCCAGCCAGCCTTGGGGTCCAGAAACCCTCTGCCCTCTTTTCCTGCCTTCTCAGGACCTCAGAGGCACAGGGCTGTCATTCCCATCTCTGTAGAAAGCAGAACAGAATGGCCTGGTTTTGTAGCAGAAGGCATTTAAGCTTGCTCTTGAGAATTAATTGCTTGGGAGGGGTGTGGGTTAGCCGAACTGGACGTGGCCATGGCACTGCTGGAGGGCTCTCTGAATAAAAATCTATTCAACAGGTGTTTACTGGGGACCTACTGTGTGCCCAGCACAAGCAATGGGGATTCTAGAAGGCATGTTTAGGGGGAGGATGGAGATGGCTTCTAGAGGGTTGACTGATTCTTTCATCTGTCCTCCTGACCCACCTCTAAGACTTCCCTAAGACATCAAGCCTCCTTGTCTCACCGTGGAGCCTTGGTTCTGGGGTTGATGAATTGTGGAGATAGTTTTCCCACCCCCCATCCGATACTGTTCCCTCCACTCTCATGCCATCTCATTTCATGTCATGGTGACCCTTGCCCTAGGCACGTGGACATTTTGAGTCTTCTTTTAGACTCTGCATTAGAGCAATGTGCCAGATATGAGCACCTGTCCAGCACCCACTGTTCCCTAGCAGCCCCTTCCCACCTAATAGTCCCTGTTTTTTCAGGAACTCGGTTTGGGGCCATGCTGGACATGCTAACGGACCGCTGCTCCACCATGTGTCTGTTGGTCAACCTGGCCCTTCTGTACCCTCGAGCCACGCTTCTCTTCCAGCTCAGTATGAGCTTGGATGTCGCCAGTCACTGGCTGCACCTGCACAGGTCTGCTGCAATTCTAGGAGTGTTGACCAGTTGGAGACACTACAGTGGGGGGGAGGGGTGAGACTGGATGGAAGGGTGTCTGGGTGGTTTCAGGCATCTTGGGAGGTCTCCTTTTTAGCTCCACTTTGTTGAAGGACCCTGGGCAAATCCTGTCCATCTCTGATGACCTTCGGTCATGTTTATAGTTGGATTAAGCAATTCCTAAGACCCGTCTTGGTGGATATTCTAGGATTCCAAATGGGTGACAGCTCATAGCAAGGGGCATGGGGGCTTCTGAATGTGGCATTTGAATGCTGACTCTGCCCCCAGCTAGGTCACCCTGTGGCTTTCAGCAAAATACTGGTCCTCAGCTATGCCCCAGTTCCTCATCTGCCCAGTAGGGGCCATCCCAGCACCTGCTACACAGAGCTGACGTGAGGATCAGGTGGATGGCAGTGGTCAGGAAAACTCATAGACCCCCCTGTTTCCTCCCCAAGTTCTGTGGTCCGAGGCAGTGAGAGTCACAAGATGATTGACCTGTCTGGGAATCCAGTGCTTCGGATCTACTACACCTCCAGGGTGAGTATTTCCTGCCCCGCCCCCATCTATTCATCTTACGGGAATGGATGGGGCTGAACCCTGGCCCCAGGTTAGGAGGGGACATAAGCTCAGAGGAGGGCCAGCCCAGTCTCTCCAAGAAGGAGGTTCCTGTCAGCTGAGGCATTGAGGAAGAGGAGGATTGGTAGGGAGGGCTGTGAGTTGCTCCAGGCAGCAAGTGGGAACAGGTCCCTGTGCACCCAGGGAGGATGAACTGAGTGGCTGGAGGGAGAAGGGAGGGAGGAAGAGAGAAGCCAGAGAGGTCTGCAGGACCAGCGTGGGCTCTATTCCAGGAGCATAGGCAGCCTCTGAAAGGATTTTTAAAAAGAAATAATTTGCTGAGACACACCTCGGCCCCCCCTTAGTGGTGGCGGACCTCGTGGGGGTGGCGTGGCACACCACCCTGCCTCTTGCTTAAGCAGCCTTTTGCTGTGTGCGCAGCCTGCTCTGTTCACCCTGTGTGCTGGAAATGAGCTCTTCTACTGCCTCCTCTACCTGTTCCATTTCTCCGAGGGACCTTTAGGTAGGCGATGAGGGATGGCCAGGAGGGTGGGAAGGGGTTCTGGCCTGCCCGGGGGAAATGAAGGCCCCCTACCCTGGGCCCCTCATTTCCCTGCTGCCTTCCCGCAGTTGGCGCCGTGGGCCTTTTCCGAATGGGCCTCTGGATCACTGCCCCCATCGCCTTGCTCAAGTCCCTCATCAGTGTCATCCACCTGATCACGGCCGCCCGCAACATGGCTGCCCTGGACATGGCAGACCGTGCTAAGAAGAAGTGACCCTGGAACCGCTGGTCCCTGGCTGCCCACCTGCCCTGGGAGTCTCACTGTGCCACACAGCTCCCTTCCCCCTCATAGGAGGTCCCAGTCTCACGTCTTCCTAATGTGTTTTCCAGCCTGCTGGGATGGGGGTCAGCCTCTCTTTGGTGATGTCACATTTTCTGTAATCCCAAGGACCAGTCCCATCCCTGGGGTCCCCAAGGACTGGGGCTTCAAATCAGGATGGGTGCTCAGGAGGCCCTGCCCCTATAGATGGTGCTTCTGGGGTGCCAGGAGGCCAACCTGAGGACCAGGCATTGTCCCATCCTGCTGGCTCAGCCAGACCCTGGCGTCTGGCTTGGCCTGAGTTTTAGGGACACTTGAGTAAGGGAAATGGTGTAGGGGCCAGATTTCCCCAAAGGCAGGGGAGTCAGACTTCTGCCCCTGGCCAGAGGAAGCCTGGGAGGGAAGGGGCCATCTGGATCCTTCCCTGTTGCGATCTCTTCTATCCTGTCTACCCTGGCCCTGGAAGCCTCAATAATAAAGGTGAGTGCTTCACTATTCTGGACTCAGTTTCCTTTGAGACATTCTTGGATCAGGGCTTGGGTTGAGGGGATCTTGGGAGAAAGGGAAGATCCATCTGGATGCTTTTCCTCTAGTTGTTTGCTGTCTCACTTCTTCCTGTCACTACACGGTGACCTCAGAGGCTTTCCTGCCACCCACCTGCTTTATGTCACTGGCTGTCTACATTTATTTGCATTCTTAATATTTTCTACCCTCACTAGAATGTAAACTCCATGAGTGCACAGACTCGTTTCCTTCTCTATCCTAGAATGAAGACCAGCCTTAACCTGGCATATCTGCTTAATAAATATTCATGAATAGATCAGCTGGTTTCTCAGCGTGTGGTCCTTAGACCACCTGGAGACTATTTCTTAAAAATGCACCTTCCTAGACCCTGCACCAGACCTTCAGAATCAGAATCTCTAGGGATGGCCCAGAAGTCTGCAATTTTAATAAACTCCAGGTGACTCTTCCTCCCAATGACGTTGAGAATCACTGTTCCTTCTTGTTGGCATTGTTCTGGGAATTTGTCGTTAACAGCACTCCTACCACCTGAGCTTTTGAAACTATAGTGTGTTGGGTTTACCATATGCCAGACCCTGTGTCAGGGGTTTTTTTGCAGATGTTACTCATTTTATCCTCATAATAGCTTAGCCAAGAGGCTCTGATGTCCAGGAGAGCTAAAATTGATCAGATGTGTACTGAGCCTCAACTCCTGTGCTAGGCCCAGGGGATTCAGTGGGAACCAAGCAGCTGGCTTCCCGGCCCCTTGGAGATCATGGGGTTGGGGAGGGGACAGAGGGAGAGCGGTAAGAACCTAATAACACACTTAGGAAGGTGCTTGCTGGGGGATGGGAGTAGAAGATGCCACAGCATCTTAGGTTTTGGAGAAGGGGTGGGTATCTTAAATGGAAAGTTGGTAGGGATTGGGAGAAAAAGGTCAGTGTAGAGGAGAGGACTGATTCTTGGCTGAGGGAACGGCACACAAAGGCAAGGAAGCCAGAGAGCACCCTGGGCAGTTGCAGAAATTGAAATAGAATTGCAGGGTGGAGAGCTGGTGGGAGATGAGGCAGAAGAAACCAGCTGGGGTGGCATTTGGACTTTATGTTTCTACATTTGAAAATTCATTTTATAGCCTGGCTCAGTGGGTTGCGCCTGTAATCCCATCTATTCGGGAGGCCAAGGCAAGACAATCACTTGAGGCCAGGAGTTCAAGACCAGCCAGGGCAACATTGCGAGACCTCGTCTCAAAAAATAAAATTCATTTTCTGTGCATTCTGTTCTGCTGCTAACACAAGCTACCGCGGTTCTAAGTGCTATTACATACATGAGCGCATTGTGTATGTACTCTCACAGCTGCATTGTGTTGGGTACTATCCAGTAGGACAATTCTGTTAGGGTGCCTGTTCTCCAGAGAGGACGCGCAGGCCCTGAGAGGCGCAGCCTGGCTAGTTTGGCTCCAGGGCCCGTGCTCCTAACCTTTCCCATGGCAGCAGTTCCACCTCGGCATAGAGTGCCATTCATGATTGATTTAGCCAGGTCCTGCCACCGTGAACAATGCTGCCCTAAATCACCTCACACTGCTCTCAGGGGCACTTGTAGGATGAACATTGAAGGGCTGGAAGCAGGGCAGCGGCAGGGATGGATTTGTGGTTTAGGAAGATGCTGGTACACAAGGCCGAGGTGCGTTTCCAACGCTTCAGGCAGCTCCCTGCCCGGCCTGCTCCAGGTCAAGGCAGGAGACTGGAACAAGGTACCCTCCCAGCTCCTACTCGGAGCCATTTTCCTTCCTGTCCACTCTGCCCTCCGCAAGATGTGTCCTCCGAGCACTGGCTCCAGTCCCAGAGCAGGTGGCCCTCTACGCATGTGGCTCCCAGTGCCCTGACTGGCTTCGGGGCTGTTTGGTCCTAACCATTTATGGTGACCTCGGAAGTCTCTAAGTTATGTAAACCCAGCTGTATGTGATCTTAAGAGGGAGAGTTGGGGAGGAGAGTGTGAGCACCTTCCCCTTTTGTGGGATCTGCACGTGAGGGTCCTGAGGCCGGAAGGACCAGCACTGAAGACACACAGGATGGCTTCTGAGCCACCCCCGCCCCCTCCAGGACTAGTGCCACGTCCAGTGGCTGAACTGAGCTCAAGAGGAACCTGCAGAGCACAGAGCCTGTGTTTGCAGCCCAGGACCAAGTAGCACCTGATCTGGAGGTGAGCGGTGGAGAAAGTCTGGGCTGAACTGGGTCCTGGAGTCACTATGTTTGATCCGGAGAAAAGAGTAGAGTCACATATATGCAGTAAAAACTTTCTGGAATTCAGCTATATGCTTCCAGACTGAATGAATGGCGACCATGCCAGAAATCCCACATGTTCATTCCGCTCAGGGGCCGCGATTCAGAGAGGGCACGAGATGGGCCTTGTGAATCTGCTGTTCCCTCAGGCGGTCCTGAGTCTTTCCGGGCTCTTGCACTGCGATTCAAGGTTACCCTAACTGCTGTAACAACCTGCAAGGTGTTTAGTGCCTCACACGGGACAGAAGTTTACTTGTAACTCATGTTAAGTCTTAATCAGGCACTCCTGACTGGGAGGCAGCTCTCCCGCCAGCGGTGATTCAGGGTTTTACGGTTCCTCCGTTTTCAATGTGTGGCTTCCAGGACCACCCTGCTTGCTCGCACCACGCACGTGGAAGGTGTGCATGGGACAGGTTTTCATGGGAAGGCAGGGAATTGGCACTTATCACTGCCACTCCCATCCCATTGGCGACAGCTCAGTCATAAGTGCAAGGAAGGCTGGGAAATATAGATTAGCTATGGGCCTACGAAGAAGAGGAACTTGGCTTGGTAAACAGCATCTTACCATGCTGAGTGTGAGTTTGCTGTTGAAAGATTTTTCTTACAAAAGGGGTCCTTAAATCAATGACTTTCACTGATATTCAACCAGAGACAAGCCATTTATTTGTTCCAGTGCTGGAGAAAAACAGGCTATGTTGAACATCAGAAAATCACACCGTTCTATATTTTATGGGCAATTTAAGGAACATTCAAGGGCAAATTTGGTTACTACTTAGAATCTGGCTCCAGTGTGAGCTGGGGCGCCACTGTATTTCCAGCAAGGCCCGTCTTCCCCACCATACGGTGTGCTGGACCCATCTTCATGCAGACAATTCTAGAGCAGTTTCCCCTGTTCCCTACTGGATCTTACAATCCTGCAAGACACATGCAGTAGTCAGGCTAGGCTAGGTTATGCTATGGTAACAACCCCTCCAATCTGTCACTTAATACAGCACACATTTCTCACTCCTGCTACGTATCTATTGTGGGTCAGCTGTGGCTCTATTTCACACCACCATCTCTCTGGGACCCAGACTGATGGAGCAGCCTCTATGTGGACTATTGCTGGTCACCCTTTTATATGGAAAAGGGAAGAGCAAGTATGGTGGCGATGGTACTTCCCCTTGCATTTCATTGGCCAGAACAAGTCACATGACTTTTGTCTCCACATGGAGACGTCAAATTGTCAATTGGAAATGAGTCCAGAGCTCAGGGCTGGAGAAATGGATTTTGAAGTCAGTGGGAGAGAGATGATCTACGGTCACGAGACTGGCTGAGCATGTATGGAGGTAAGACAAGTGCCCACACAACCCACAATTTAGATAGAAGCTGAGCATCTCAGCAGCCACCGGTGAAAGAGAAAGAAAACTAGGTGGTGTCGGGGAGCCCAGTGTGGAAGGAGGGGTGCCCAACAGTGCCGAATGCTGGGAGAGGCTGAACAGAGGACAACCCAACTACTGGATTTAGCAACAGGACGTCACAGTGATGCCAATTAGAGTAGTTTCCATAAAGCAAGGGGTGGAGGCAGAAGCTATCGTGGTTTGAAGAGGTAATGAGAGGTGAGGAAGGGAAAGAGAGACTGCAGAACTCTGGGGAAATTTGGCTGTGATGGAAAGGGAGGAGAGGGTAGGAGTCAGTTAAGGAAGAGTTGTTTTATGTGGAAGAGAGTAAGGCACATTTGTACTCTGATGACGATGGTCCAGGCAGGAGAAAGAAGTTAGTGGCTCGGGAGAGGAAGGTGGTCCATGGAGGAGGGCAGCCCTGAGGACTGGGGAGGAGTCCTCAGCGTGAACAGGAAGGAGGACAGAGTCCAGATGCGGCAGATTTGTTGCTGGGAAGGAGAGAGTGTTCCTGCCCAATCTGCTTCTATTTTCTCAAGGAGGTGAGAGAGAGTGGGTGGGAATGTAGGAAGCTGAGAAGAGAGGAGGTGTGAATGGTTGGTTGAAGGGGATCTCACACAAGACACAGGAGCAGTCAGAGCAATTAGGCCTCCCTTGAAATGTGCTGCCAGGTGTTTAAAATGAGATCAGTGGCAGGGGGTGTCTTCCTCCTCTAGCCACCCGCAGCTGGTCAGGGGCAGTGCAGGGAAGGAGGGGGCTTTTTCCACTAAATATCACAGGGGAGGGACAAAGCACAGAATCTAAGCTGGGCAAAACTGAAACGAAGAGGGGCAGGGGGTTATCGATGGGAAAGTGGCTGGGGTCAAGGTCACCGAAGCCTCAATGGGAGGAATGGTTGGTGGAAGGCAGGGCTGGGGCAGCAGGGCTGAGGTTTCAGAGGCGGTGTGGGTGTTGGTAATGGCAATGTCAAGGGTGGCCAAGACAATGGAATATGCCCACCACAGACACTCTTGCCTGCTTGTCACTGGTCCCCAGAGGCCAGTAATAAACAGCACTAACAAGTAGCATTGAACATGTGCCAGGTACCAGATGAAGAGCTTTAAATTAATTACTTCTCTTGAGGGAAGATGTAGGAGAGCTTGGGGATGGAGGGCTGACTCACTCGCCTATTCCACACACACTGAGCCAGCACCGCTGAGCGCTGTGCGCTAAATACAGCTCATACTTGAGTCAAACCACTGGCCACACAAACTCAACTGGGGAGGAAACAAGGCTCATGGGGTCAGGCCCCCAAGGGGGCAAAGGAATAAGACCCTAACATAGTCATCATTACATTTACACCTTGCACCAACCCAGCTCAGTAGGGGAATTGCTGGCTCATTTCACAGATGGGAAAATAGATCAGAGAGGTTGAGTTGCCTTCTCTTGCCACACAGCAAGGAGACTCAAGTTTCTCTCTGCAAACCTAGGATCTTTCTAACTTCCTCAGCAAAGGACGACCTGGCACCTACAGCTCTGCCTGGCCCCTAGGGGGCTGGTGTGTCTAGGCTGATTGTGCCTGAATCCTCTCCCAAATAAGGGCCCTTGGTGGTTGTGGGGCAGGGTAGGGAGAGGGCACCCCTCCCCCTCAATCCTCCCGAAGAGCCCAGACCAGAAGCCCAAGGGGGCACTTGAGTTCCTACTGCCCTGGGCAGAGTCCTCCCCAATCTGACACACCCCCATCTGTGGAGGGACAAGTGCACAGTACAGGGTACAGGCCGGGCACATCCGCTGGCACCACCACAGGTGGTGCTGAAGGGAGCCCAGGAAGCAGGGATGCACCTGCTGTGACTGGAGGGCGAGAGGCCAAAAGGAGGAGCCTGCCTTGAACGCAGCTCTCAAGGAAGAGCTTTCTGGGCAGTGGGAACAGCCAGAGTGAAAGTTCCAGAACTCCCTGGCCAAGCTGGGCTCCTAGAGGATTTGGCAGGGAGATGTCACTACTGCAGGAGCCATTGCAGTGGGGCTGGCCAGGCAGGCCCCATCCTCCCACCTACCTGGGCATCATCTCCCCTACCCAGCTCTAGGGCAGCTGGGTGCCAAAAAAGGACAGCTGGCTTGGTGGGCAAGGCCGTGGGGCCATGTCCCTACTGGTGTGACTTTGGTTAGTCCTCTCCTTTTACAGCTGAGAGTAGTCTCCACTCACTACCTCAAGATTTCAGGGTACCCCCTACCACCACCATTAAGCTCCTTTGTGACTCAGACTTCAGATAAATAGAAAAGGGTTTAAATGCCTAGAAACATCCATTGCATTTGTCAGGGATCAGTGCAGTACAGGCATAATGGGGCTGTCTCCGGGAACTTGAGGGGCAGAGAAGGCCTGGGGAATCAAGCCCTCCCCGGGGCCAGGCGTATGGGCCACCTTTTTGGCCAGGGGAGCCTCAGACCCCTGCCCCAGCAGCCCCAGGGCTGTGCTGAAGAGGTTGATGGGAGTAGAGCCGTCGGTGATGAGGGTTGATTTCAGGCCCAGCGACTGGAGCAGTTTCACCTAGAGGGAGTGAGGAGGAAGAAGGTAAGAAGACAGGGCAGACCCTGGTCACTCCTCTCATCTCCTCGGCTGCCTCTCTAGGGAGCCAGGCTTCACAGTGACTCTCCTTAAACCAACTGGCTTGCGGTGTCACCTCCCCCTTCATCTGACCACTCTGCTTGACCTCCTTTGAAGCACTTGTCACACACAGATGTCCCATCTGTTTGCTGACTCCTCCTGGAACTCCAGTTCACTACTGAGTCTAGCACAGTGCCTGATGTTGATGCAGCAGGACACTGCTTGAATGACACATGGCACAGGGGCAGTTCACTCACCTCTTCCCCTCACCCCTCTAACCCCAGCAGCTTTCCAGATGTTGTGTGTGCCTTCCTGGCTCTGCCTTCTCGGTTCCAAGGCTGGTCCCAAGACCAACTCCGCCTCTCCTCTTGCCTACTCCTCACTCACCTGCATCTCTGGCCCAGCCACAGCAAGGTCCCTGATGGTGCTGGGGCCCAGGGCCTCCGTCATCTGCTTGAACTTCTTCACCTCCACCTCAGCCAGCTGTTGGGCCTTGCTCACCTCCAGCTCCAGCTGGGCCCGGGCATAGACCAGTTCCATCTCTCGTACTTTCTGCACCCGCTTGAGCTCAGCCTCCTGGAAGGGGGAACACCCAGCATTTTTTAGAGCATGTGGCCCCTGGGAGCTGTCCAGCAAGTCACCCTGGCCAGCAGGCCTGAGGGAGCTAGGGGAGAAGGAATGGCATTGTAAACTCGAGTCAGTTAGGAGTGAATCCCGGCTGTGCCACTGCTTATCTAGTGACTCGTGGGAGCTCCTTAACCCGGGCTTCAGTACCTCGTCTGTGAAATGGAGATAGCGGCCTTAATGAGATCCAAGCAGTAAATAAGGTCACGCCTGGAAAGCACATGCGGTACCTGGCACAGAGGTGGCCAACATGAGCAGTCAGCTGTGGGCTGCGTGTGATGTCCTTACCTTCGGGGAATGTGGTAAAGGAGTTGCTACAGGTGAAAGGACTTTGTAAACCACTAGGTACTTGAATAGGGCCTTATGTTAGGGTGCTTGGTATTCTACTCAGCCTCAAGGACTGTGGTGAATGGCCAGGCCTGGCCAGCCCCGAGGCCACCAGCTTGCCCCTGCTCACCGTCTCGATGGCCAAGGCCTGTGCTTTCAGCTTGGCCTGCAACACTGAGCCTTCTCCCTCGATCCGAGCGGCTTCTGCCCGGGACTCTGCCTCTGCCTTGGCGGTCCCAGTGCTCTCCACGGACATGCTGGAGGAGGAGGCAGAGTCAGGTGAGACCCAGGAGAAAGCCCAGCCCTCCCGCGGCCTTCAATTTTGCAGCAGCAGCTTTTGCGAGCACCCTCACGCCCCACTCCATCAGCTGCCTTCCCAACCCCTCGGCCCCTGCCAGCCCTTCCTTCTCGTTCTCACCCCACCTCAGAGCCTCCAGCTCCAAGAGCTCCCTGCGAGCTTTCTCAGCTTCTGACTGGTCCAAGATCTTCTGCCTCTCAAGCCGGCCACGGGCTTCTTGCTCTAGTCTCTGAGCCTCGTGCCTGGAGAAGAGGGCGCACAGGTAAGGCTCTGGCATGGGGCCAGAGGGAACAGGAGCGCCAAGGGCAGGGACCCCTACCTCTCAGGTGCCCAGGACAGACCCTGGACCCTGGAAGCACTCAACGTGCAGCTTGACCCAGAACAGTGCGTGTGCCGCAGGCCAAGCGCGGTTCCAGGCCTGGGAACGCCGGCATGACTGTGGTCCTGCTCTCATGCAACTCGCCTTCCAGCGGGGAAGAAACAAGTATGCAGAGGATTTCAATCCCAGACAGCGACAAGCAGCTTGAAGGTGGTAAAATGGGTGACTGGGGCAAAGAGGATGTTACTCAGTTTTGGGAGAAAGAAGAGAGCTCTCCAAGGACATGGCCTTTGGGCTGAGGCCAGAGGAGAAGCCTGGCTTGAAAGGAGCTCTCAAGGAAGAGCTTTCCGGGCAGCAGGAACCGCCCATGCAGGAGGCCTTCAGGCGGGAACAAGCTGTGCAGAGGGAGTCATGGGGCTGGAACACATCAGCTAGTGGGGAAGGCTGGAAAGTGGGGTCTGGGGAGGCCAAGCTGGACCCCAGAGTGTCTGGAAGGCCACAGAAAGGAGTTTGGGTTTCGTCACAAGGTATGAAGCCGCAGGAACAGGGGTGGCATCTGATTCACACTTTAAGTGGCTCCTCCTATCTGCTGGGTAGAGGTTAGATCCATGGGGGCGAGGATGGCAGCAGGCAGACCATTATGGGACACCATGTTATCCAGGTCCTGGCAGTGGCTGAGATGGGGACTCTGGAGAGGTCCGGCCTCAGGGGACATTGTAGGTAGCCAGGCCCCCAGGCTTCACTCACTTGGCTGCTGCCTCCTGGGAGTTGGTGGTGATCTCGATGGCCAGCTGGACACTGCGCTGCAGGGCGTCCCGGGTCCTCTGGTCCACGGGCTCCACTGACTGGACATCCACGCTGCTGACCACCAGCCCATTTTGGGGGAAGACAGCCTGGCTCCGGGCCTTGGGCAGGGCCATCCCGTCAGGGCCCTTGGCCTCCGAGGTCTCAAAGCCAAAGACAGCAGTGCGAATGATGCGGGCAGAGTTCTTATGGAAGTCATCGAAGGTGACAGAGGCCACAGCCCCCCGAACCTGGGATGCAATGGCCTTGCAGGCATCGCCCACAAAGTCAGGCACTGAGAAGAGCTTGGCTGTCTCTTGGGGATCCTTCCGGTCACTCAGCTCAAAGTGCCTGTGAGCAAAGAGGCCCAGAATGGGGAAGCTGTTTCCCTTGGGAAACAGCAACTCTCTCTTTGAGAAGGAGCTCAACACCCACCCTCTGTGGCTGGGTAGGGCCTCTGACAACAAAGAATGCTGATTTATGCCTGATAAGGTCTCAAGAAACTTAGCACATCTTCCCATAATCCTCTCAGCCACTCTGTGAGATGGGGATGTGCATGATCCCCATCAAACAGATGAGGAAGTAGAGGTCGAGACAGGTTAAGTAACTTACCCAAGGTCACACAATTTGTGGCAAGCCAGGAAGCTGAACCTAGGCAGCTGGCTCTAGGGTCTGGTCTTAACTACCACACAGTGGCGCCTGGGAATGTGTCAGCACCCATCTGCCCTCGTCACGGTACTGGCTCCTCTCAGCCAAGAGGTGAGAGATGTGTGCTTGGGAGTTGAGCACTGTTTCTGTACGTGACCATCTCACCTGCCTCTAATAGCTGCCACTGCACTCCAGCCATATTTCTTGTTGCGTCCTTTCAACAGCCCTGTGAAGTAGGTAATGCTGCCATCCTCATTTTACAGATGGGGAAACTGAGGAAAGCACCTAGTCCCTTGCTCAGGTCCATAGCTGGCAAACAGCAGGGCTGGGATGCTGACCCGCAGTACCTTGCCCACACTGTCCCCTCCCACTGGCTGTGTCTCACTGATCTTGTAATAACATTGCAGTTAAGCATCTGGCAGTACACATGCTGGGCGTTTAGCTGGGGTGGTGTCCCGGTCCCAGGATGCAAACCCACACCTTCCCTGGATGTATGTGAACTCCTGGGTCCCCTTGTGACCCTGGCGTCAGGTCAGGCATCCTGCCCTGGAGGAGGAGGAGCCAGCACTCCAGGAGACGCCGCTCTTCCTGGGTTCCCAAGGCTGCCCCCACCCTTGGTTACCAGTTGTAGGCGAGCTGCAGCTGCAGCCTGGCGTGATCTGCCGTCTCGATGGTGATGACGTCTGTGAAGAAGTCAGGCCCGAGCAGCAGGCAGAGCGCGCGGCGGGCATGGGGGCGCTTGGGCCTCCCGGCTGAGAGAGACAACACTGTGAACTGCTCCTCGGGACCCAGCGACACCAGCTCAGGCCCAAAGACCACGCTGCAGAGACAGTCAGGAGTCAGAGCTGGGCACTCGGAGGGCCTCTCCCACCGCAGCCGGCTGGGCGGGGCCCTCACCGGGCTTTCTTCTCTCTGTAGTCGTACACCTGCACCGCGGCGTTGTGCGGGACGCGGTAGCTGACCACACGGGTCTTGTTCCGGGGAGCAGAGGGCTGGAAGGTCTTGGCTGTGTCCTTCTCACCCCTGTCTGCCAGTGGGTCTTGCCCCTTGTTCAGCAGCTCCTCCACCCCGGGAGGCAGCTCCTTCTCCCACAGGACTTCGTCCTGGGTCAGCATGTAGGTGCTACCGATCACAGCGCGCACCTTGAGACAACGACAAGGAGGGACATTGCCAGCGAGCGTAGAAGGCAGGAAGACCCACCCAGCGCTCCTGAGGCAGAGCCGGTCTCCGGGAGACGCAGCGCCAAGGTTGAGCATGGTCTCTGCCACGAGGCTGGCGCAGTCTTGTGTTTGCCATCCGCTAGCTCTGTCATCCTGGGCAAGCTGTTTCACCCTCCGGCTTCAGTCTCCTCGTCCGTCAAATGGACATGATAGTGGCTACCTCATGGGCTCAAGGGATGGATGACATTTCATGTGTCTAGTTCAAAGAACAGCACTTGCCATAATAGTAAGTGCTCCATGTTACTCCTTCTAGAATCATCCTTCATGGGGCAGCTTGGAGGGCATCATGGGGACAGACTCAATCCCAGGAAGTAGGTAGTATACACTAACACCAGCTAGGGTTCTGAGCTATGCTTCTAAGGTTGGATTCTTAGAAAAGAGGCTGGGGATGTGGCCCTAGGTCAAACTGAGGTCAAAGTTTTAGGTTTTAGTAGCAAAAGGAAAGATTCCACCAGGATACGGGCGTGGGGGAAGAGGTTCTTAACATTCCTAGACTACCCAGCCAGACCTTTATCCTGCGGGCCAGACCTGCAGTGGGGCACAGTCCCCATCCTAAAACTTGGCTTGTCTTCTCCGTGGGAGTTTCCAAAATTTGAAATTAGATATTTAAGACAAAGGGATGGCAAATACTTCATGGAATGCCCTCATACCTACCAGCCAGCCCACCCCGATGCTGCTATCTTTGCTGCTGAAGTCCCTCCCAAACCTCTACCTCATACCACTCCCCATCAGCATCTCTGTGCTTGCTCAGAGGAAGCTGCCACCCTGGCCACACAGCAGCAACACTGCCCACCCCTTGGCTATTACCTTTCCCGTCTTGACGTCCTGCACGTAGATGCCTTCGTTCTCGTCCAGAGGGATGGCCTGACGCTCTTCAACCACCTCCACCTTGGCGGATGGCACGTACTCCAGGGGCCCACGGATCAGCCAGTGGTCCCCAGCCTGGCGTGAGACTCTCTCTTCATCTTCCCCCTCCTCCAGGGGCTGCAGGGCCCTCAGCAGCAGTCCCTGCTGCTCTGACAGCACATATACATCTTGGATGCCTCGTTCCAGCCTCTCCCCTGGCTGGAGGAAAAAAGACTTCTCTCCCTAGTAGAGAGACGTGGGGTTAGTAGTCGTCGCCACTTGTGGTTACAGGTACTTCTGAGCCACCTCCCCATCCCTGTGCTGTCTTGGTGTGTGTCAAGGACAGGAACCCAAAAAACACACCCCCAACAAGGCACAGTGGCTCATGCCTGTGATCCCAGCACTTTGGGAGCCCAAGGTGAGAGGATCTCTTGAGCCCAGGAGTTCGAGACCAGCCTGAGCAACATAGCAAGACCCTGTCTCTATAAAAAAATTTTTTAAAAGTCAGCTGGGCATTGTGGCATATCCTGTAGTTCCAGCTCCTCAGGAGGCTGAGGCAGGAGAATCACTTGAGCCCAGGAATTTGAGGTTGCAGTAAGCTATGAATGCACCACTGCACTCTAGCCTAAGCAACAGAGCAAGATCCTGTCTCAAACAAACAAAAAGCACACTCCCCACCCCCACATTATAATACCACGAAGTGTTATTTGGACACTCTGGGGCTCTATGCAAATGTGTGCAGAATCTCATCTGGTCAAACATGTCCTTGCAAGATTCTGTAAACTGTCAGGACCTGCATCCTCACAAGCTAAATAGTTAAAAACTAATCTATTATTCCTCTTCATTTCTCCCATGCTTCATTTTCTTGGGATGGTGCAATCCAGGGGTTGGCAAACTCTGATCTTTCAACCAAATCTGGCCTGCCACCTTTTTAATACATATTTTTATTGAGATATAATCTATATATAAAATTTACCGATTTGGAATATACAAGTCATTTTAGTACATTCTAAGTTGTCTGTCCAACCATAACTCCTACGTAAGTGTAGAATGTTTTAATCACCCTGAAAAGAAATCCTATATCTAGTGGAAGTTACTGCTACTCCCCACCCACCAACAACCACTAGTCTATTTCCTTTCTCTAGGAGTTCACCTATGCTGGACACTACCTATAAATGGAGTCATACAACATGCGGTCTTTAACGTCTGGCTTCTTTCACTTAGTGTAATGTTTTCAAGGTTCATTGATGCTGTAGCATGTATAAGTACTTCATTTCTTTTTATAGCTGAATGATATTCCATTTTATGGATATGTCACAATTTTTTATCTGTTCATCAGTTGATGGACATTTGGGTGGTTTCTACATTTTCTGCCTCCTGTTTTTGCAGATAAAACTTTCCAGATGCAGGAGCTCTCTCATGTGTTTACATATTGTCTATGCTGCTCCAATGATACAGCAGCAGAGTCGAATAGTTTCAGCAGAAGCTCTGTGTGACTCACCAGGCCTAAAATATCTACCATTTGGCCTTTTACAGAAAGTTTGCCAACCCCTGGTATTCGCAGGTATAGTTCAGACAGGGGATTAGGTAGGGGATGGTGAGGAGGGTAAACCAAGAGATTTGTTTCATGAAAGAGGACAAAGGTTCCACACAGGAGATGTGACATACAATCATGCATCACATAATGACATTTCAGTCAACGATGGTGGTCCCGTAAGGTTAGAATGGAACTCTCATATCCTATTTTTACTGTACCTTTTCTATATTTCGATATGCAAATTCTCACCATTGTGTTCCAGTTGCCTAAGTATTCAGTACAGTAACATGCTGTATAGGTTTGCAGTCTAGGGGCCGCAGGCCATACCATCTGGCCTAGGGAAGTATTAAGAGAAGGCTAGACCATATACGTTTGTGTAAGAACACTCTACAACATTCACACAATGACAAAATTGCCTAACGACCACTTCTAAGAACAGATCCCCATCGTCAAGTGATGCATGACCATAAGAGAGCGTTTCAGCACCTTGGGGCATGGGGAGGGCCGGGGGCTTTCCCAGAAGAGGCGGCGTGGAACTTGAAGTCCGAGAGGTAAGTCAGAGGCTGCCCAGGAGTCAATGGGACAGCGTTTCAGGCATAAAGAACTACGTGTGCAAAGGGACAGAGGGCGCTTCTAAACATGTACCTGGCATGGAAGGAGAAAAGGGAGCGAGTACAGAGGGTCTCATGCCACTCAAGGGCACTTGCCCCGGGCAGGCCTCCAGGGGACAGGCGGGGCTCACCTTGACCACACGCTTTTGCCCCAGCAGGTTCTTGCCGTCCGGTCCCACAGGGTCGAGAATCACACAGTAGTTGCGGGGGCCCAGGGTGGTGATGGGCACGACCCCCAGCACCTCCTCGTAGACGTCCGGCACGTGGGCCTCCGTGTCCTGCACAGTCACCAGCCACTCCTCTCCAGTGCGTCGGGCCACTCCCCTCGCATCTCGGAAGTTTTGCCGAGCCCGGAGATGCAGGGCGGTCTGCAGAGCGAGGTGTTTGGTGTTGACCAACCTACCTTTAACTTCCTTGGGGGATCTGGGAGCCCCACTGGCCACTAAATGCTCCCAGGTCTGAATGACAATTTCTACCAACCCAGGAGGACTTTTTAACCCTTTCAGATGACCCAGAATACTCAGGTGATCTGACCTCTGAATTAATTTTTTGAGTGACCCCAAAAACAACGGCTTCTCTTTTACTCTCATCTTATCCACTGCCGTTCTCGGAACTCTGATGTTCCCTGGCCCCAGGTCCCATAACCCACACCCCCAGGGCACAAACCTTTTCTGTAAGGACTACAGCATCCACCAAATCCAGAACCTCCTCAAACACTGCTGGGAGATATGCCCCCACTGAGGTGACCAGCCATTCTTCTCCTAGGCCAAGAGTGGGAGGTAAGAGTCCAAAGTCACCCAGCCTGCTTCCCAGCCACCCCTGCCCACAGCCTAGACAAGAGGGACCAGCAGAACTTTGTAGATAAAGAGCTGCCACTGCCTCCACATTTGAGGGCCCAGCAGAAGTCCTTGTATTCAATCCTTTGAGGCCAGAGGAAAACTAATCTCTTCCTAAAGAGAATAAAAAAGCCCATCTAAGATACACAAGTTGCTGCTGTGCCAACACCTTGCTATGTCTTCTCTAAGCTCCAAAGACCACGTTTTGTCCTTTCCCTAAAATGGGCACCAGAAGTGCCTATTAGAGTTGTAGATGTCCTTTGGTTTACTGAAGCAGCCAGAGTGCCTGGGTGCAAGTCCCAGCTTTGCCTTGTCTGGCTGCACACCCAGGGCAAGCAACCAGAGTTCCGTGCCTCAGTTTTGTCATATGGAAAATGGGAATATTACCTCAAGGTTGTTTGAAGACTATATAAATTGCCATTTGCAAAGCATTTTTTTTTTCTGAGATAGGGGTTCACTCTGTCACCAGGGCTAGAGTGCAGTGGTGTAATCACAGCTCACTGCAACCTACCTGGGCTCAAGTGATCCTCCTGCCTCAGCCTCCCTAGTTGCTGGGACTACAAGCAGGTACCACCCCACTTGGCTGAATTTTTTTTTGAGATGGGGTCTTGCTATGTTGTCCAGGCTGGTCTTGAACTCCTGGGCTCAAGCGATCCTCCCATCTCGGCCTCCCAAAGTGCTGGGATTACAAGGTGAGCCACTGTGCCCAGCCTGCAAAGCATTTTGAACCATACCTGGCACAGAGTAAACACTGCATTTGTTAATTGTATTTGAACATCTGCTTTGTTGATTCAGAGCCAGATACGACACAGCCACTGCCTACAGCTCATGGTGAAGGTAGGGGAGGGAAAAGCCAGTCATCACGGTCACGATCACAGACAGGTCAGGGCCTGGGGAGCAGCGGCATGAGGGTGGGGTGGGGAGGAAGCAGCGGGCAGCCTTCAACAGGTTTCAGGAGATACCAGGGAAGCACCTCCCCCGGCTACAAGTGGCTTACCACCCCCGTTCCCCCACTGCCTTCCTCTATTTCCTCTGCAGTCGAGGCCCCTCCTATGCACCCACTATCAGTGCCCCTTGGTGACCCCACCTGTCACCCTCTCCTTGCCGTTCCGGTCCCAGCACTCCTTTCGGGCCCTCAGCCGCAGGGCCTGGTTCTGCCTGATGACTGTGGCTTGAATGATCTCCACGACCTCCACCTCCTTCTGAGGGATGTACGTGCCTGGGAAGGGGAGGCGAAGTGGAGGCTGAAGGTCGGACGATATCAGGGCCGTGGCGGGAAGGCAGGAAACCCCTGACCCCGACTCGGGCCCAGTGGAGAGAGAACTTACCAGGCCCCTCAAATAGCCACTCGTCTCCTGCCACCACCTTTTCTCCATCCTTATCCTCAAAATCCAGCAACGCCTTAAGATGGAGGGCGGTGTTGGGAAGGACCACCTGCAGGGGGGTGATGTCCTGGTGGAGAAGAAGGGGAGACATGGGGCATTCAGTGCTGTGACCCCAGGGGTCAGAGAGAGGACTTTACAGCCCCATGAAGGTGTTCTTTAAAATGAAAGCTTATACAGGTAAACCTTTAAGGCCAGAAAAGCATGGAAGCAACAGAGCACGTTTACTGGCCGAGAGAAAGGCATTGGTAGTGGAGAAGTTAAAGACAGAAAGGGGAGAGAGAAGTGACAGGGGAGGAACAAGGTGTCGAGAGGTGGAGGAAGGCAATCTCCTCAAGGATCCAGCAGGTAGAAAGGACATGAGGGTACGTACCAGGTAAAGGGGATGGGATGCAGACACACATCCTGCCAGGTGGCCTCAATTTTGAACTAAGTAAGTGACCAAGTTGTTCAAGAATGAGAGGGGCAGAAAATAGGAAGACAGCTGAGAACAATAAATATTTTGAAGCAGACGGAACCAAGGAAGAGGAAGTAGGTTAGAAAGGAAGACAGTTGCTCCCCAGGGCTGGGTTGGAATGAACCATTTAACCCACTAATAACCCCGTTACAGTGGCAGCTCTCTCTCTGCAGGTGAGGTTGTTCTAACCCTTCCTGGGTGAGAGAATGGAAAGCGTAGGTGGGAGGTAACGTTAGGGTCAAGTGCAGGTCAGCAGCGCTAACCACAGGAAAAGAGGAAGCCAATGAGCATCTAGAACCGAACTCGAAACAGCAGGAACTTGAGATTAAGGACTTTTCCTGGCCAGGAGCATGCATAGAAACTAGGAGTTCACGTCCAGAGGCAACCTTTTCCCCAGTAACATACATTGGCATAGTAAAAATCACACCCACCAGTGCCATGACAGTTTGCAAATGTCATGGCAACCCGGAAGTTATCCAATAAGGATAAAAGTGGGGAGGGCCCTTAGCTCTAAGAACTCTCCAACCTTTTCCCAGGAAAATAATGACTATTCTGCCTACCATTTAGCATATCACAAGGTGTAGACATAAAAGTAGAAGTATGATAAAACCCCAGGCTCTTCTCCACTCACAGAGACAGACCTGTTTCCCCTCAGGAAATGCACTTTCACTTTGTGTACTGAAAGCCTGCGATAAAAGCTGCTGTGTGGAGGTGCCAAGTGTCTGTCCTCAGTCACACCAGCCCTGCTTGTGATTTTTCCAAGCAAAGAGCCAAAGAACCAGAACAACACCCCTCAGAAATCAACACTGACAGTAACCTTGGTTGAGGACAAGGGCACAGAGAGTGTGAGAAGTGTTAAAATGATAAGGTCTGGTCAGGGTCAGAAAAAAAAAAAAACCAAGAAGAGAACCTGATGGGAGAGAAAACTGGGATTGTCTCAGAGGAGGGAGGAGGCGGTGGCAGCGGCTGGAGTTCAGGCTTAGAGGGGCCAGTGGAGAATAATGGTGTCTAGAGTGGGCCTGGCACTGGGCAGGGGCTGAAGCAGAACAGAGGGGGGCAGGGCCAGAGTTGAAGTCAAGTAGGGCAAGTGGGAAGGAATGTCTGTGTGGCATTGCTGCCCTGGGTGGGCTGGGTCTTCTGGGGAAGACCTCAACTTCTGGGGAAGTTGAGGCTGAAGCAAAGCAGGGATGAGGAAGGCTTTTATTGTCAGCCCTAGGAAGCTTTTAAACACTGGTCCCAGCCACTCTCCACCCAGCCACCCAGAGAGGGATTTAGGTACCACCTGGATATGGATTAAAAAAAAAAAACACCTTTCATTTGACAGTTTCACACAGAAAAGTTACAAGATAGTACAAAGAATTCATATAAACTCTTCACTCAGATTCCTTAAGGGTCAGTGTTTTGGGGGGTTTTTTGCGGGGACAGAGTCTCACTCTGTTGCCTGGGCTAGAGTGCCGTGTTGTCAGCCTAGCTCACAGCAACCTCAAATTCCTGGGCTTGAGCAATCCTACTGCCTCAGCCTCCCAAGTAGCTGGGACTACAGGCATGCGCCACCATGCCTGGCTAATTTTTTCTATATATTTTTAGTTGTCCAGCTAATTTCTTT